GCCCTCATCTTAATATTTAGTTGCACATCCTTTGGAAACAGTAACTGAAATCAATCGCTTCCTGTAACCATCAGTGGGTTTCTTACAGCTCTCTCCTGGAATTTTGGACCACTCTTCTTTTGCTAACTGCTCCAGGTCTTTCAGATTTTAAGGGTTTCTTCTTGAGATCTATAGACAGGTGCTCTATGGGATTTTGATCTGGACTCATTTCTGGCCACTTAAACCTTCCAGTGCTTTGTCTTAAACCATATTTTGGTGTTTTTTGAAACATGCCTCGAGTCATTGTCCTGCTTAGTGTTGTTTTTGGCGGCCTGTTTTAATTTTTGTTTTAGTCTAGTCTTTGTGTGAAACTGTCATTTTAGTTTTTATTAGTTTTAGTCACGTTCATACTCTTTTTAGTCTAGTCAAGTTTTAGTCAACTAAAAGTCAACTAAAAGTCTGAGCATTTTAGTCGACGAAAACTGATGACATTAAGTCTAGTTTTAGTCAATGAAAATTGTATTTTAGTTATCTTATTATATTATTGTTACCTTATAGACTCAAGAATACATCCATTCCAGACACGGAAGACGCTCTGATTTGAATTTACAACATTTATTTTACCAACCAAATATGTTAGAAGTACACACACATAAATTTAAATAAAGACGAACCCCGGCTGGCCGGCCATCGGTCCCTTTCTCTGTGTCAGACTTAACTTTGTTTGATTTTCATCTTCTAAATCAGTGTTTCCCAACATTTCTTTAGTCGCGGCACCCTTTGGAAATTGTAACAAATTTGTGGCACCCTACAAAATAAATTTTGTCACAATATTTGAATTTCTAACTTCGATATGATAATTTGAAAAGTATAGATATTCAGTACAACAGGGAAGAACTGCAGAATATAATGTCATACAGATATTTTTAATATTATAAAAAGAAATGTGTCTATCAATGGTGGCAATCAGTAGGCTAATTTCTAATGAAGAGACCAATTTATATGACAGATTTTAATGTAGGCTTTTATTCATATGTAAACATTGTGAGATAGCTAGTTATAATGGTAATTAAACAAAGTTTTGATTTTACAGCTGGGTAATTTTGTTGCAGTAGCACGAGATAGCTTGATTTAAAACTTTGAATTGAATAAAAAATGACAAGGAGGCTAAGCAGTTAATAATAAAATAAGAACAAATAAAGAAATTACTAATGATAGCACAAATAAAAAAAAAATCACGATAGGCCTACAAATGAAATAAATTGCTTTTTAGTTTTTCAGGTAGGTCTAACACACAGTAGGGCTATTAAGAGATTTAAAAAAAAAATGTTTTACCAATTATCCAAATAATGTTTAATCCTAGAAAGCTATTATCATCAGAGGACACATGAGCATAACGGTTAGCAGATCAATGAATGAGAGGGCAGCGTTACCAGAGTTGCCCATTTACCACACCTTGTTACAGCACAGTAGGGCTATTGCAGACAGAAACAATACTGTACTACAGAGATGTTTCCTGTCAGCTTGATTTCTGAGTGGACTTTGCTGTTCCGATGAGCATGAACGCGAGCGACTGAGCGGAGCACACACACGCATAGAGCGGGATAATACACACACGCATAGAGCGGGATAACACGCAGAGCGTCACACCACGTGAAAGTGAATCCTGAGCGGTGAACTCATTTTCGGCAGCCGGAATTTCGGTGCATCTCTAATTATTGGCGACATTAGAAATGGATATTATATAATAGCTGCTTTTTTGAACATTCATAGAGCGGGATAACACGCAGAGTGTCACACCACGTGAAAGTGAATCTTGAGCGGTGAACTCATTTTCGGCAGCCGGAATTTCGGTGCATCTCTAATTATTGGCGACATTAGAAATGGATATTATATAATAGCTGCTTTTTTGAACATTTTAGCAATTTAAAAATATTAAAAAAGGATTTTTTTCACGGCACCCCGGTTGGGAAACACTGCTCTAAATAATGCCGCGCGTGGGGCTTGAGGAAGTGACGTCGCCTGCGTCTGCGCAGTGCGACCTGATGCAGCCCCTGAAGCGAGACACAGGAAACAGAAATACTGCAAAATAATAATAATAACGCGACTAAACGAGACGAAATAACGTTATAACATTTCATTTCGTCTCGTTTTGGTCAACGAAAATGAAGAGACATTTTAGCATAGTTTTTATTTTGTAAACCACATTTAGTCTCGTTTTTATTCGTCAACGATATTGCATTATACATTTAATTATAGTCATCGTCACATGACCAGCATTTTCGTCTCGTCTCGTCTCGTTTTCGTCACGTGATAAAGGTTCGTTGACGACGATATTTAGTCATCATTTTCGTTGACGAAAGCAACACTAGTGATCACCATGTCAGGATTTATTCTGCACTAATGACCAGCTGACTGCACATTATCCCTTACGTATAGTTCTGCTAAAATCCAATTTCACATTAAGCATGCCTACACAGCTCTTTCCATTTCTGGTAGAACAACTATTCATCTTCCTCTGTCTCTGAACCACCTCAGCACTACATTTTACCTGCAGCCTGAAAACCTGATCGCTGAGATTTTACCTGCTCCGCCTCCTCCTTGCTCATGGCCAGTGCCAGCTGGAGCTGCAGGTCCTCCTCTCCAGAGCTCTGGGGCCACGCCTGCTCAGCGTCTGCTCCCGAGTGCAGTCCTCCCCCTAAAGCAGGAGCAGAAGGGGCCGAAGATGCTAAGGGAGGAGTCAAATGACAGCCATTATGATGCATCAATAGATGGTGGAGTATCGGTCCCTAAAAGTGCATCCAGAGCAAAATGCTTGCCAACCTTCAGACTCGGCCAAAGCATTCTTATAAGGGTGCTGACAAACATCTGAGTGTCCGCCCTGACCCCTTCATAAGCCCCTCCTACTGCAAAGCACTTCTAGTTCTTACCACTGCTGGTCTGTGCCATCTTCTCTTTGGTCTTGAGTGCATGGATCCTCTCCTCTCGTAGCCTCTCCTCATCTTTTAGCAAAGTCACCAGCTGCTTGGCCTTTTCCCGTACATTCACACCCTGAAACATACACACAAAATGTAACGCTACATTCATTATCTATGAACTTATTTTGTTTTGTACAAAGCATATGTGCAATTCTAATATGTTTATTTGTCCAGCATGGGAATGAATAATTAAACAACCTGAACTATAAGTTGTTAAGTTTGAGGTAGTGCATGCGAAAATAATGGGGTGACTAAAATAAAATAAAACCTAGAGGGTTGAAGATTGGGCTGATGTTTTTGTGGTTTAAATGTGAGTGGGAGAAAGACCTTGGTTTAAAGTCAGGGCGTTTGAATTGACTGCACATAGAGACCTTGAGTGAGAGACTGCTGTAGTGTGTGAATCACATATGAGAACAGTTACTAACATGTTGAAGGACACTTCAAAACTAACACTCAGAGCTCTCCTTTTATTTCCTTAATGAAAGAGAGATAACACATTTTATTTGCGTGTGTGTATAAATATAACTTCCTGTTTGTGTGTACCTGGTCCTTGCCATCTCTGTCTATGTACTGGAAATCTTTGAGCGTCTGAACGGCGTAGATGTTTTCCCTGCATTGCTGTGCCACTCTCTCTGAACCCGTCTTTATCAGATACTCCATAAGAGTCATAGCCTGAGAAAAAGCGAGAGTATAAAATACAATCAGATTGTTTTTATAGCCCCATATACCAAATCTAACACTAGAAAGGGTAAAACCGTTAAAATTACTTTATATACATGTCTCCAGTTCTTCCCATGGTCATTGAGTCTCTTCCAGACCATGCTCATAATCTCTGAGAAGGCCACAACATTGTATGTCAGGTCAGCAATCTCTGACATCAGAGAGCTAGAGGGACCCCATGGGTCATTAGAGGTTGCTTCCCTAACCTGGAGAAAACACAAAATAAAGTTCAATAAACTTTACTTAAAGTGTCTGTTAATGCTTACAGAACACAGTGCAGTACACATTGTATGCTGCCTACTATTTTTTAAGTATGTGAAACCATATACTGTGTGCAACTAGAAATATTTTAAACAGAATTATGCTACATGACCGCATAACATTGCATGTTTATTCAGCTAGTGCTGTCAAGTAAAAAATTTTTTTTTTTAAATAATTATAAATGAAAATGAAAAAATAAATAAATAAATAAACAAAACAAAAACATTTAAAAAGATAAACAACAGGTTAAGAATTGCCACTGCACTGTATATACCACTAAAGTGCCCAGTTCTACAACATAGATTGAAGTTGTTATGGCTTCCGGGTAATTTATAACACTAGAAATTGAAGATCAGCACATTGCATTATGGTATACCGTATCTCACGCAGTATGCTCTGTTATATACTGCATGTTTCAGAGAATACAGTAGATTATCTTTATAATCCAGGCAAATAAAAAGTTAGCGAACTGTGCAAATATACCGAACTACTACACTACAGAAAAAGTATGGACTAGAGTATTACAGTAGTATGCTATTCCAAACATAACCTTATTTCGCTGACCAACGTTGTGACACTCTTTTACTCTTTAGGCAAGAAATCTCTGCAAAAAAACATGTGACGAGATTTCTTAATAAGATTTTGTTTAGCATTTTTGATCACCAGTTTTTTAGCCTAAACTGAAATAACTGATAAAAACAAATGAATGAATTCCTGCCTCTTTTGTATGACTGCTTAGTTTCATTCAATCAAAAAAATGAAGGGCAGAAGTACAAAACATTTATCAGGAACTAAAAGACTTGCATAAGAAGACTGTTTCAAGGCCAAGCTGGAGAAGAGTGTGAAAAGAAGAAGAGAGAGAATGAAAGCTGGGTTACAAAGGTAAAAGTCTAACCTTTATCTCTGCCTCTGAGTAATTGTGAACAATGTTCTTCACTTGTCGCCGCAGAGATGATGTCGACATGGCAACAGGCTGGCTATCAGGTTCTGCAAAATCTGGGACATTGTAAAGCAATGTCAATAAAACATTAATATGGACAGGTACAAAGGCAAATAAAGCCTTCACATTTTTCAAAAGGGAGTGTATCAGCTCTGAAACAAACAAAAATGAAATGTTTGGGCTGCTATTCAAATGCTATCCATCTCTCCATCGATTAAAAAAAAAAGACCCAATCTAACATAATATCTCCAGTACCGTGCACCCTCTGTAACCATGGAAGCGCAGCCCCAGGAATTCCCCAACCTAAAAGCCCTGTAAACACAAGAGCATCTGATGACGTGTGAGTCTGGCTCCAGGAAGCGTCTGTGAAGTGTACTATACCTGGGAGTGTCAGTCTCTCTCCCCCCCTCTCAGTCTCTCTTTGTGTGTGTGCTCAGGTCGGGGTCTCTGAGTGCTTAGCCTGTCCACTGTTCCAAACCTCTGCACGGCGGCCACATGAGGGCCCAGAAGCACAGATGTGGGGTGAATTATCTACGAGAAGAACAGAGATTTAGACGGGAGGTACAACATACAGGGAGGAAAGCTGGTGCAGCACTGTGTTGGCTTAAAAACACAATAGACATTCAATTCCACTCTTTGACAATCGAGAAAATGCAGTAATAGCGGACTGTGCCTGAGGGCACTGTACATTGCTCATTTGTAATATCAGCTGGGTGTAGGACTAGAGAAACTACAACCAAGCTGAAGCTCAACACCTGCTGTGATGTACAAAACATAACATCTATAACTTCAATCAACATCAAATCACACAGACACGTTAACCCTATAAAGCCTACTATCATATTTGATACATAGATTTCTAAGGCCGCTAAATTAACAGTATGATCAAAACTTTGCTGAAAAAGTTGTTGAACAAATGACTACATGCCTTCTGATTGATAATTCTTATTTTTTTAGTAAGAAAAAAAGCCTTTTAGTATCGCAGTAAAAATGCCCACCTTCATGTCGTGGTACTTTTTACCGTGAAATCTTTAATGATTTTTTTTTATCAAGTAAACATAACAGTTATACCATAAATATTTCAAGATGAGCATTTACTGAATGGAAGTCATTTAGGTATATTTGATTTCCCATACATCAATTATGTATCAAATATAAAATATCAGAATTTTAAGGACCATTTTTCTCTCAATTATCACAGTACTTTATGTTGTTTGTACATTAATTTGAAGACTGAATGTGAAATTATTGCAGTATAAAAGTGTATTTAAAAACTTTAATGTTAGGTGGGATTAATCAAGATTAATTTCAGAAAAATGTGCGATTAATTTGTTATATTTTTTTAATCGGTTGACAGCACTAATATATATATATATTCTGTCTAAAGGTTCAATAAACTGTTCCATTTTTAAAAAAAAAATGTTTTCCCTGACTATTATTTCATGTCACGCTTTACATGGTTAACATTAAATTAAGCACATTGTATAACACAGGAATAATGGAGTTACTAGAATGACCTATTCATAATAATAAACTAATACACTACATTAGCACCCTTGACTACATTAAAGTGGCATTATATTTAGGCAAATATACTAAAAATGTACTTCTAAGTGTCGGTCAATCCAGGAAGAACAGGCGTTAAGTAGTGGTTGATGATAGGGTGTATTAATATGCAGCCCTGTTGCATAAGGCTTTGCCCTGATAACAGTCCCACAGCCGCCTTGAGGATGTCAGGAGCGAAGTACAAAAGTCTGAATGAACTGTTGTCAACGAGACCACAGACCTTTCATTTCAACCTCCATTCAAAACAGTAAAATCAGGGGTCAACAGGTGGTTTTCAAAAGCAAGTTGATGAGGTGACAAGCAACATTCAGTGAACTTATCTACGACAACTGTTGCTTGGAAAAGTGTGTGAAATCTGACGGTTGGTGAATAAGATTTGCATCAGATCAGTTAAAGTGGCGTGTTGTTTATCTTTGTCTGAGCAGATGACAGTGGGGGTAACAGACATCTGCTCAAACCTCTCTAGACCTCCACCCAGCTAACAAATTAAACAGCATTTATTCCCAGCCGTTAGACAACTCTTCTAAAGTAACTTCAGCACCGAACAAGCCACCGTGGCTCAAACTGATAGAAAGAGATCACTGCCAAGCCAACTAGAGATCAGCTAGCTGAGGCTACTTACCGCTGAGCTTCTGTTCTTCCTCTCAAACACCACCAGACATCCAGCCGAATAGCAGAAAGCGGGTTATTGTCAGTGGAGACGGGAGTAAAGGAGCGCGCTGTTGCCTGTCACGGTGCTAAATTAAAAACACTCATCTAGAGACGTGAGCGCCGCGCTATGCTAACTCAACTCATAAAGAGACGCGTGTGAGTGCGTGACAGAGTGACTCGGCAGCGGTTTTCCTTCACAACTATCGCCCCTCGAGTCGTGCTCGGCATTTACATATAGAACGTGTCATATAACCGCTTTTGCGAATATAATAGCGCTACTTTCTCAAATAACATCTATACTGACCCTGCCGTTGCTCGGCTGGTACGAGGAGATGGCGGCACTTCCGCTTCCGTTTCCCCGAAGCCGGACGGACCGCGCCCCCTTGCGCGCTCCCCGATTTGAATATTCATGAGCCACGGTAAATACTATCTTAACAACGATTTCTAGGTGCTTTTTGAATAGTAGGCGTACATTAAAAGCACCGAACTGTATGAATCTAGATTAATGCCCTCTGTGAAATGTGAAAATCTGGCATATGAATATTATATATACGCAAACAAATTTAATGTTATCGTTTTGGTGACGTTTGTTAAGCACCCTTAAGAGTTCTGTCAAAATCATTTTAGCAGCAACGGCTGCTATGTGCTATTAACATTTGTGGCATTCGGGTGTCATGTCAACCTATGCAAGCCTTTGAGTTATGAAGAGATGACAAGTATCGTCTGATATTTTCTTTCCTAACTTTACAGTGATTCTATAGCGCGCAGTGCCCACATAGTGGCGATGAAATCAGCTGAATTTCTTTGCAGGACATCTACAACAGGGATGGGCAACCTGCGGCCCGCTACGTCTTTTAGTACGGTCCGCTGGATCATATTAGACTCGGATGATCAATTTTAAAACATTTGTAAAGTAAGTCACGGAAAGTTTGCTCTCAGTTTATGATGTTAATACTAACTCCAACCAGGAGAGGTCGCTAGTTCCCGGCCGCTCACCGTATTAGGATGTGCACTGTGCAATGTGAACATTCACTAATATAAACAAAAATGAATGAAAAATTGACAATTTTCCAGTCAAGATGGACTAAGACTAAGATATATTTATGTTATTTAATTAATATAATAATTGATTGATAATAATTGTTTAAATTAATATAATAATTGATACTTTTGACTCATTCCTTTTCTTAAAAATTGTTTAAAGGCTGCAGTGTTTCATAAAAAGGTCTTTTAAAATCTTAAATTGGATTTAAAAAATCCTGCAGATGCCCTGCTATATTATATTACCATTTGGAATAACTATTTTTTTTAAGAAAGCACTTTTTTAACTGTCCTCTTAGGTTGTGTTGAGAATGTGATGTAGGCCACTAATCAAAAATAGGACCTCTGTACATTTGTTTATTGCAAATTTACAGACAATGCATTTGCTTGTTTACATTTGCTTGTTGGGGTAATATTGTTCCCATTTGAATTAGCATAACTACATAAGATTTATAGTTAATAAATTATTTAAAAACAAATTGCATTAATTATACTGTGGTGTCCTTCAATAAAAAGGAAATTGAGTAAAGATGGTGTAAAAGGTGTGTGGAGGTGGATTAGTAATCTGGCACCTTGCTATAAAGTTGCCCAGTTTTTTTTATTTTTATTTTTTTTTTTTATTAACAGAAACCACGTCAGTTCTTTTCAAATAATCAAATTATTTTTTGCGGTAATGTTTAAATAATTCTATGTTCTTTAATAACAAAAAAGTGTTGTTATTTATTTATATTATTATTATTAGTTACAATTGAATTAAGTAAGATTATTTAGTTTAAATCATCCTGCAGATCCCTTAGAAGTTTGCTGAGGCACTCTTGAATTTTTGTGAATATACTATAAAATAGTCATACAAATACTCTCAAGTCTCCTGATTGGCTGCATTATTGCTCTTTATTGCACAGAACATTGCTTAGAAATGTAACGATGGCACTAAAGGGAAATGTATTACCATAGTGCATACCTAAGCAATAATCACTTTCACATTTTTCATGTGTCTGCTGAACTCAAGTCTCACGTTCACTTCCAAAGAATATTTTAGGGCCCTTTTTATTTAAAAATGACAATGTGTGGTGTGTATTGCATTTAAATTATTTAACAGTTTGTAAACATTATTTTACAGTCTGTATCCTTCATGAAAATAACATGTAACAGATTACTTCGAGCTGGGTGGTCTTCTCACAGCATGCTGCCATGTTTCTTTTAGATAAAAATGGCGAGTTCATGACAGAGATTTTATACCAAGTCACTCAAGCTGAATGTTTACAGAAACCATTTATGGGTTATAAGAAAACAGACACTAAGCCTTAAAATATACCACTTGAAAATAAAAATAAAAATACACATAAACACTCACAAATGCACACACCCACACACATTCATCCAGAAGAACTCGAGGCCACCACAACTATGACTGTGAAGAGCAGTGTCACACTTCTGTAAACGATTTAATAGTGAATGCATTTGAAACACTTTTCAATTTGTTGTTAATGGATATATCTAAATCCAGTAATTGCAGTGCAAACACATATGATTTATTGCTACCTATCTGCATATTTTGGGTATTGGGTAACTTGTTAAACTAATTCTATGATGTCTCAGACATACCATGTGACATTCTTGAACAGTAGGGGAGTGACACAAGCGTAGTGCAGATTATGAATGGAAATGAGACCAGAGGGACTGATGAAGCCTCATTGAAGTCAACTGCAGACTGTATTAGAAACAGCTTCATGCATGTAGAGCAGCTGGAGAAACAGAAACGGCCACGGTTGTGATAACAGGGATCGTTTGCCTTACATAATATACAGTAGCCATGTTGTACTTGAGATATCAAGGGAAATCTTTCTGAGATGTAAATGTAGAAACGAGTTAATTGTGAAGTGCAGAGAGAGAGTTGAAGTTCAGGGTAAACTGAGAGTAGATATAGAATGAGAGAATGTGAACTGGCAGCGCTGAGCAGAGGTTTGACACGAAGAAGATGGTTGTATTAGGTTCGGCAACCTTTCAGCTGTTAGTTTTGTCACTCAAACAGATCGCAGAATGTGCAGATTAAATACCATTGAAAAAAAGCCAATAAACAAACACGCTAAATGAAAGAGGGGGCAATTTTAATGTAATGACTCTAAACTGTTCTCTTTTCTGTATTCATAATTCTTATCTTTTCCAGTAGTGTTTTGAAAGAGTTGATATTTCTAACAGGATATTTTTACTGTTTGCATTACTTGTCTGTGTTTTCTGCATGCTGCGATTTGCCTAACAATTTGTGTTGATAGAGAACAAATACATGAACTACCAGGCCAATTTTGTCTGAAATGTAAGTTACCCAAAATTAATTGCTTGTTTATGGAACTGTTGTATAAATCAATATCAGAGATTCTCTTATTAAGGGAGATAGCATCCTTCAAAACTGTATCACTGAATTAAGCATAATGGTTCATCTGAATCACATACACCTAAATGAATAACATAATGGTGCTTGTGTGATTTAATCCATGTCTTATAACAGTCACTCACAATGTGCATTCATTACACCTGTAAGTTACACACTACTGTTTAACAGTTTGGGGTCACTGTTTTATTTTATTTTTTTAATGAAATTAATATTGGTTAATCTTGGTTAATAATGGTTAATAATGGCATTAAATCAATCAAAAATGACAGAAATTTTTTTGCCATCACAGTAAAAAAAATTGCATTTTAAAATATTAAAATAGAAAACATTTGCTTTAAATTGTAATATTTCAAATGATTTCTGTTTTTGCTATATATTTGATCAAATAAATGCAGCATTGATGAGCATAAGAGACTTCTTGATTCTAATATAGATATTAATACAGCTCATACATATTAAAAGTTAAGACATACTCAAGACTATATATTATTTTGCACATAGATTTGTTAAAAACTTCTTTTATCCAAAAGACTTTCAACTGTTTACATTTTCTTTGCAATGATTTGTATCGTGAAAAGCGCTGTACAAATAAACTTGACTTGACTTGACTTGACTTGAATAAAAATATGTGTGACTGGCACTAATGTCACAGCGCTCTCTCAAAAACCAAGTAAATTGATTACACTAGGATGATTTGTATTATTTAAAAAAAAAAAATCTGCCACAGTGGACTGTGTAGCCTTAAGTACTTCCAAAAATGGACATTCTGCGATTTCACAGTGTTAACGTTTTGGTCAAGAGCATAGGGGTAATTAGATCTCAAAACTGTAAATGTCTTGTGATCTTCTTCAATCTCACTTGATCCAGCAGAGCTGCTGACTGGAGCTGCTGTTCTGCACAGTAGGATTTTGCTAAGTATGAAAGTGATAGTGCTAGTAGGAAGAAGGGAGATCAAGAGAGAGAGGGGAGGATTAGGAAAGAGACTGCAGAGAACAGCAAGAACTCAATAAAGTGTTGCAGATAGATTGACTGACAGGTGGAACACATTGCACGCTTTACTGACGTACAAGAGGAAAGAGAGCCAGTGAAACGTCTGGGAAGGGGCAGCATACCTCACTGTTGTAGTACATGGCTATTTGGGATGGAAACAAGCAGAGGAATTTTGGAGGGAAAAAGGGAGAGCGAGGGAGGGAGAGAGAGAGCAGAGGAAGGTGGTAGGCATGAGTGAGGGCCGTCAGACTCATTGAGGATCAAGAGAGAGAGAGCACCGATATAAAAATACTCAGTAGCAACTGGCCCTCACACTTGCACCGTGACATCTGATTAACTGCTTGTCGATCTCAGTTGTATGTTGATAACGAGCAACAGACAGTTTGACTCAAATCTCAGTCCTGTGCAGATGGGAAAGAGACAGTGAGAGAGAAACTGACTGTTTCCAAGACGTCCTGAAAGACCTGCAGCGTTGGACAATGACTGTGAGTCAAAAATTGCTCTTATGGAAAATTCTCCATTTCATAACAACACACATTAACAAGTACCTACTTGTTACTAGAAATGAATAAATAATAAAATAATATATATAAGAATAACATATATATGTAGGATTCATCAGGATTAAACCTGAAATGCTATGCGATTGAAAGCCACCATATATAATTGTTAATATGCAACAAATGAAATCATTCATTGATGATTTCACTAATGGTGTGTGAATGGCAGTTTTACAGAAGTAAATCATGACTAAATAACATTTCAGGTTTTATCCTGCTAAATCCATTAAAGCTGTGTTATACACCTGTGGTTAATATCAAGCGTTCCAGCCGTGCTCCACAGCACATACTGCACATATCCATTGCAGGTCACTAACCCTTCAAAATCAGTTTGAGATACATAAGTGAAAAGGGTTGTCATTGCAATTAAATAAGGATGGTTGAGTTTAACATTATATATGTACAATACTGGTCAAAAGTTACTGATTAAGATTTGTAATGTTTTGCTCACCAAGGATGCATTTATTTGATCAAAAATAAAAAAAAATATAACATTTCAGGTTTTATCCTGCTAAATCCATTAAAGCTGTGTTATACACCTGTGGTTAATATCAAGCGTTCCAGCCGTGCTCCACAGCACATACTGCACATATCCATTGCAGGTCACTAACCCTTCAAAATCAGTTTGAGATACATAAGTGAAAAGGGTTGTCATTGCAATTAAATAAGGATGGTTGAGTTTAACATTATATATGTACAATACTGGTCAAAACTTACTGATTAAGATTTGTAATGTTTTGCTCACCAAGGATGCATTTATTTGATCAAAAATACAAAAAAAAAAAAAAAATCAATAATGTTGTGGATTATTATTGCAACTTAAAAGAACTGGTTTTAAAATGCAATTTACACCTGTGATGGCAAAGCTGAAATTTCAGCAGTCATTACTCCAGTCTTTAGTGTCATGATATTTTGAAAATACTCTAATATGCTGATTTGGTGCTGAAGAAACATTTCTTTTATTATCAATGTTGCAGACAGTTTTTGCTGCTTAGTATTTTTGTGGAAACTGTGATATACATTCAAAAGTCTGGGTTAAGTAAGATTTAAAAAAAAAATGTAAATAAGGACATTAAATTTATCAAAAGTGACAGTAAAGACATTCAGAATGTTATTTAAGATTTCTGTTTCAAATAAATTATTTTCTTTTGAAGTTTCAATTAATCAAAGAATCCTAAGAAAACAGTAAAAAACTGTTATCAGCTTTGATAATAATAAGAACCAGTATTATTAATTGAGTATCAATAATAATTGATAAAAACGGAGCACCAAATCTGCTTATAAGAACAATTTCAAAAGGATTATGTGAAACTGAAGTCTGGAGTAATGGATGCTGAAAATTCAGCTTTGAATCACAGGAATAAAATATTAATTTAAAATATTCAACTAGAAAACAGTTATTTTAAATTGTAATATTATTTCACAATATTATTGGTAAGCATAAGAGACTAAAAAATCATAGATAGATAGATAGACAGACAGACAGACAGAGACAGACAGACAGACAGACAGACAGACAGATAGATAGACAGACAGACAGACAGACAGACAGACAGACAGATAGATAGATAGATAGATAGATAGAGACAGACAGACAGACAGACAGACAGATAGATAGATAGATAGATAGATAGATGATAGATTGAGACAGAGACAGAGGCAGACAGACAGACAGACAGATAGATGATAGATAGATAGAGACAGAGACAGACAGACAGACAGCCAGACAGACAGACAGATAGATAGATAGATAGAGACAGACAGACAGACAGACAGATAGATAGAGACAGACAGACAGACAGACAGACAGAGACAGACAGACAGACACACAGACAGACAGACAGAGAGATAGATTATGTAAAACACACTTGTAATATACACCCAAGCTATTTCAGGGCCATCAAGGTGTTAATGGGCTTATTTATTGTTTGACCATTCTCTGTCTGCCATGAAAGTGAAGGCTGGCAAAAGAACTGACAGATGGGAAGTTCAGCTATTATTATTACACGGCTCTCTGGAATACATGGATGCGATTTAATTGCAGAATTCTGGATTTTTGTCTAACTGACCATTGTCTCAAGCAACCAATTTATCTTTTCTTTAATTTAATGCCCATTTATTTATTTGGCAAGCAACCATATAATAAGGAGGATAATGCACAGCCAGCCAATTATTATTACAAAGTACTGTATATACAATTTTGGTTATCTGTTGATATTAGAGATCAGTGTAGGTAGATATTGGGTATTTAATTGTGCTTGTTGATGTACACAATTTTTCCATTTAGAGTACCTATATTACATGTTACTGTTACATGTAATATTTAGCAAAACATAAAATCAGTATCCATTTTTTATACTGTATATTATAAAGATGCTTTCATTCAACTATAGCATTTAAAATATGATTTGAATAATCAGGCATTTATCGGTTATAACCTTATTTTTAATAATTGTCAACTTTAATGTAATCTTAAAAAGATTACATAAACAAAAGTGGAGGCTTCACACAGCATACTGATTGAAAACCATCATTTCATGATTAAAATGTTGCTGTTGCTTTGTTGTCAGACTGCACCTAGAGAACTGGATGAGCTGTGCTACCTCACGGCTCAGTCCATGACATCACTGGTGACATCAGAGCACTTCAAACTCATCAAAAAGCTGGGAGAGGGCTCGTACGGCAAGGTGATGCTGGCGGTGCATCAGAAGAGAGGTCAGCTGTTCTGTGCTTACCTGTTTTGTTCATGTTGAACTCTAGCCTAATAGCACTGTGACAAACAAGACAGGGTGTACATTTGGTGAACGCGAAGCACTTCTTACTTTAGCAATCTCTCTTAACTTCCAGGAACCCCAATGGCTCTGAAGTTCTTCCCCCGTCGCTCCACCACTCTCCAACATTACATTACATTATATTATATTATATTATAAAAATAGAAAGAGCGATGAGATGACGGAAAGTGTGTGTGTTCTGTATTTAATCTGCTCTTCAGCAGTGCATTAAGTACTACCATTAAACAGCATTAATGTCTCAAGGCTGATGATAGGAGCAGTTGTTTTTGGCAGGAGAGTGAGAACACAGGAGGATATCAGACAACATGTATATAACAGCAATAGCAATGTTATTGGGGAAAAAGGGAAAAAATAAGGTCCCAGAAATTGAAATAAATTGACATATACAAATATCAATAACAATATTAATGAGAAATAATATTATGTATAATAATAATAATAATTATTATTATTATTATAAAATCATTATATATAAAAAAAACAATCTCTCTCTTTTTCTGTATAGGGGGCGGTGAGTGAGGAGTGTTCCCAGCGTGTGATGTCTCAGTTAAGTGGTGCTGTGTCTCATCTCCATTCTCTTGGCTTTGTGCACCGTGACATCAAGCCAGAGAACATCTTCTTGTGTGACTGTGCTTGTCGCTGGGTCAAACTGGGTGACTTTGGCCTGGCTCGAGCACAGGGGACCGAGGTCCGTGCTGTGTGGTACAATTCCCCTTTCTGTGTGCCCGAGGTGGAGTGCGCCAAGAGAGTCAGTGATGCAGAGGAGGAAACGGAGGACATCTGGATGTCTGTGGAGCCCAGTTTGGATACTTGGGCTTTGGGGATCCTCATATACTGCCTGCTGACTAGCTGCTTCCCCTGGGAGGAGACCACTTCTGATGACCCTTCCTACTGCAAATACAGAGACTGGTTAAACCGAATCAAACAGAGAGAGGAGACACAAGACACTGTGAGAGAGGAGAACGAAGCTGAAACTGATGTGGCCTCGCAGTTTGACTCTTTAAGCTCATTCGTTCTCACCTTGCTGAGAAAGCTGCTGAATCCACTGCCCTGGCTTCGCCCCGGGCCTGATGAGATCCTGTCTTACCTCGGGGGACCTTGGTTACTGAAGACAGAGAAAGAGGAGATGAGGAGAGAGCAGGAGGCACAAGTGGAGGCCAAGAAGATGCATGAGAGAGGAGGAGTGGAAGGGGAAACAGAGATATTGGGAAGGAGGGAGAGATAAAGTTTATATACAGATGTACTTTATTTTCAAGATTTTATATAGTGTTTATATTTTGGAATATTACTGTTTTGTTTTTTTTAAATATCAATATAATAGTTTTATTATAAAACTGGAGAAATGGAGAAAATAAATGGATGTGTAAATAGACTACATACAATCAGATGTGAACTTTCTGCAGACACTTGAATAGTGGCCCCAAAAATAGTTTGGACAATCATAGAAGTATGTCATTGCATAAGATAAGAAAGATACTAAAAAGATTTTTTAATTATAACTGAAAAAATGATAATATATAATAAATTATTATTATTACATTATAATTATATATTTTAAAATTATATTTAGAATTATATAAAAACACTGGAAGTTTGGAAGAAGTCTCTTATGCTCACCAAGGCTGCATTTATTCGATCAAAAACAGCAATATTGTTGCCTGAAACATTATTGCAATTTAAAATAACTGTTTTCTATTTTAATACATGCATTTCTATTTTAATACATAAATCTGAATTTTCAGCAGCCATTACTCCAGTATTCAGTGTCACATAATCCTTCAGAAGTCATTCTAATATGCTGATTTGCTGCTCAATAAACATTTCTTATGATAAATGTTGAAAACTGTTGTACTGCTTGTGGAAACAATGACATATTTTTCAGGACTCTGATTTATTTATTTTTTTCTCAGGTGCAACTTATAAGTATTCACTCAACGTGTATAGAGGCAAATAGGTACTGAGGAGGTGTAGATTAATAATGCTCATCAGATGTGGGTGGAATACATAAACCCTGTCTCTACCTCAAGCAGTTGTTTTGATGTACATAGCAACACATACCTGTTTATACATGTTTGAATAAACTTGTTTGTTTTGGTGACTCGTGTACTCTCTTCAGTCTGTTATATAATATGCACTCCTCAAGTTGCACTTATAAGTTGACACCCACATGTGTGTATGTCAGCATTGGTTGACGAACTATACCGACCTCATCATGCATTATAACACTTCAGATGATCCGACCAGAGCAGATACTTTAATTGACAGGCTGGTTGAAATACAGCTCTGCTCCACTCTAAATAGGACAAGAGCAGTGTGAAATGTTAAACAAACACAGGTACAATGGAACGGGTGTCAGGTTAGGGTTGTTCTGGGATTGACCGGATCAGCTCAGATATGTGTAGCCGACTCCAACTTTCCAGTTGTCCATACTGTCGCACCATCAAGACCACCCTGTCTTTTCTGTAACCAGTGTTGGGTAGATTACTTACAAATTGTAGTCTGTTACAAAATACATTTTGAAAATTGCAGTTAGTAATGTAATCTATATCACATTACACATTTTAGGTGTAATCTGATTAGTTTTGGTTACCTTTAGATTACTTTTGACCTAGTTTATAACATTGATTTGAATTGGAAATCTTTTATTGATACAATATTGATATGTAGAAATATAAACAGACAGATAATATGACTAGGAATTGAATAATGGATTCCATTCTTTGTTATTAACAAGAAGTGCATCAAACATTACATTATGTCAGGGCTTCTCAAACTGGGGTTTGTGAAGGAACTGCAGGAGCTTCGTAAGCTGATGAAAAGCTAATAATAAAATCTTAAGAATGTTCAATTAAATAAATAATTTTAAAATAAAACACTAAAAAACTATATTTAATTTGTATACCTGCATGTCACGTGACCATCAAAAAAGTGAAAAAGTGTTGTTCAATTATTTACTTAATTATTAAAATAAGGGGGGACATCATAACGACAAAAAAAGTTTGGGAATCACTGCATTACATGTAAATACAAAATGAAATTAATTTGCCCATTTTTATGTTTTAAAAAGACCAAAGATATAGTAACATATGGTTAATTTCTGTGAAATTATGTGCAGTTGCAAAACACTGGAAGACCTTCCAAAGTTTTTTGTTCTATCAGCTCTGGCCTTCACTATGGGGCCTATGTGAGCCCTTCTGCAGATGGTTTTATAAATAGCCCCAGATCCATCTATTTAGACTGCTGAACACATCAGCACCTTTCTGTGTCCCCTCTTTGCACCCTGTATCTCTCTCCCTGTTCATGTTCTATGCCATCTTGTCTTTCCCTCACACCACCTCTTCATCTCTCTGATGAAACATTGTGATCTGTCCTTCTCTGGTTTGGTACAGGACATTGATTTCGCATATGGGTCAAAGTCAACAGGTCAAATTATGTGTTCCCTCACAGATGCATTAATGCAGTCGACTTTCTCCTCTATAGTTGATGGTATTGAGGTATTCTTATAGTAGATGACAAGGCTGAAAGAATATTGTGTGTTTCGTCAATCAGCGTCACTTTATGCCATCAGCTTCCCAACACAGTTCAGAGATACACAACATCAATATTGTTGCATTTGCATCAATGTTCTGAGCTGCAAAGGAGCTTCATGGTGACAAGGCCAATAAAACAGACAAGACTTTGGAGTGACAAAGAGACCAAACATTATTCTCTTTTAACAAGAGTGGACAATTTTTCATGACACAAGCAATAGAAACCACTGGCGATACAACAAAGTTGAGCAAAGCTCAATTTTATGCAAATGAGCAACAATTAGTCGGCAACCAATATGAGTGCAGATCTGCAACCAAAGTCATTCCTGTTTCTTTGTGTACACTTCCTAGCTGGGAAAAAAAAAGCTTAGGCCAAAACTAAAACTATTACAAGTCATATTTGTTTATTGAAATAAAGCTGAAATAAAATAAAATATTAGATGAAAAACTTAAAAAAACGTTCAAATTACAAATGTTGAAAATATATTTACTTAAAATATGTTTAAGTTGAAGTACTAAAATTACTTAAACTAAATGGAAATAAACTCAATTAAAGCAAAATAGAAATATAAAAAATAATAATACAAATGACAAAAACAAATAATTACTAAGACAAACTAAAATTAAATGAATTAATTCAAAATATTAATGAATAGTACATAAACAATACTAAAATAACACTGGCTTAGGCCAGCATAATTTTATTGTTAAATGTGGTCTAAACTAGTTTTCATTGGTTAGCGCTGTTGGTCTAACATAGCCAAGTCGGTTAAGTGAGAGACAAAGACTTAGAAAAGGTTTTCATTACCACCTCATTTTAATTTCAATTTAATGCAATTTAAAATGCATTCAGTTCTTAATTTAATTCTGAATCTAAGATTTGTATTTTTTGTCTTTTTGAAAAATAAACCATGACCTGGGCACCATCTACAAACACAAGACTTGTTTAAACAACACTTAGGGCTCAGTTTGATATTGCATGTAAATACAATATTAATCTTTTATTAGTTTTATTACTAGTTTCATTCATTTTGCAGCTAGTAAAACTGAATCGCAGACATAAGACAAATGCGCACAATGTCATAAACAGAGATTTGGTGGACAGTACATTCCAGTGGACAGGGATAGACTCCGCAGGGGACAGCTGGATGGAAGGACACAACAACTGATGAGTGGTGGGAGACACATAGAGTGCAATGGATCATGAAAATGACAGGAGAAGAGCTGGACTGTAAGAGCAGAGCCAAGGACAGCAATGCGTTCAGCAGAACCTGCTACAAACCTCAGCAGAATGCAGGGATAATGATTACATTGCACAAACATATCGATATACAGACTGGCTAATCTTGATCAATAGCAGTCAACATATGAAACTGATCGCTTGCATTTACAGCAGCAAAGAGCGATTAATTTTAGCAAAATCAGCAGATTCACAGTCCAATGAAAACAGATCCAAATAAAGCCAAGCCGAGGCAGAATGAACCATTGACGATCCATGAGCAACCCCACAATGGTGTTTCCTTCCTGAATGAATCAGTGATTTTGAACAAATCGGCTGAGTAAATGATTCAATGACTCACTCAGAATACTCAAAAGGGCTTTTCACATTTCGCTTAACCCCGGGTTATCATTGATCTAAACCCGCTTTTAACACCAGGTAAAGATATGTTTTACAGGTACGTAATCACCGTTTTTTTTACACGGGGTTATGAAACCCTGCTCCCGAACAGAGTTAGCACTGCTTTTGCACATTGAGGCGCCAAACTTGTACGGTATGAAATGATGCGGTGTTAAAATGTTACGATTACCCAATCACACGCCTCATATTCATGTGCTTTGGACAGTTTCGGAAAAACAGCATGCTGTGTAAACAGTCGTTTCAGCATTTCACGGGGAAAAAAAATGTCAAATGGTGACGTAACAAAGAGACTGCCCACCAAAAGGTCCATTAAAGAAAAACAGTCTGTAATATATAATACTAGGATGTGCAATGCTAGGGTCATTATGTAAAGAGGTTGCATGCTGCCTTCGTCCAATCAATGATACTTACACTGCAAATATGCAAATGAGACTGTTAACCCGAGGTTTAGGAATCTACAGTGTGAAATGTCATCTTATAAATACCCGGGATTAACTGTTAACCCCAGGAAAATTATGAGCAGTGGTTTAGAATGACCCAAAACTTGTCTCCACCTACTGGCATACAAAGGACATGAAATAACAGTATAAAAATGATATTTACATTTTAAAAACAATATATATTTGTTAGCATGGAATACAGTCTTAGTTATCATCTCAGGGGGAAAAAAACTATTACTTTGCATGTTTAATGCAATTTTGTATTATGCAAATTTGTATATGTAATAGAATGGCACTATGCTAGTATGAACATAGCCCATGATTTGCTACTTTAAATAGCTATTTACAATTAGCATTGGAGGGTCACTCTATAGTCCTGGGTTTTGTAAAGACTTGTTATATACTCGCAGCTACTGTAATATCACAGATTTGGGATGCCTAAACAGATTACCTCTTACTTACTACTATAAACTGTCATTCAGTTCAGTTTATAGATGTCAGTGTAAGAGATACTGTGAGACAGAACCAATTGTAGTATCCAAAAGAGCAAATACAGAGGAGATACATTCCTCCAATAAACAGGTTAGGATATTATACTGTGTTTACGATCTGGCGTGCTTATCTATTTGTGGTCAACTCAAGTACCCACCGTGTTTCCCTCATGCCGCCCCACATGAAGCACATAGAATTCCACCGTTTGGTTGTCAGGTCACTATGTACATGGGTTTGGACTAGCTCAGCTTTGGCTCTCTCCTGCCATGCCTCCATATGTCAAAATGTCATCAGCTCCTCTGGTGCTCAGTTTGTCGACCTAGTTAAACTATCGTCCCATAGCACAGTATGAATATTGGGAAATCATGCAGCCGTGTTGTGTCAACTGCACGATGACTGACCAGATAAGCTAAAGGTCAGTACTGCACCGTCCCAGTGGCATTGCGGGTTTTCCCCAATTAAAATGGATTCTGATCCCTGTGGAGGTGGTGGGCCAAGGATTCAGTATTTGTTTATTTTCAGCAGTGGTAACCTTCCTTATATTTACATGCCAGCCCTAAAACAGAATGTCTAATATGGTCTAATATGTTCTCTGTAAAGATTAACCCCATGACATGAATCTGGCATGACTTTAGGAGCACTACACTCTCTAACAATAGTGAAACTACATTAGGAATTTGTAAATTACTTTAAACTGGCTAACTTGATAGACTGTGAAAATTAATTGCTAATAGGAAAAAATGAATTTTGTAGAAGTGCAGTTTATTCACTGGTGTGCAAGTGTGTCAACTGGTCTATTTTTACCTTGTATAAATATGTTACGATCATTGTAGCTGTAATATTATCAGTTGCTGTACGCATGTCACCACTTTGAATCCAAAATATGTCATTTACATTATTTGTGCAGAGTTTCTGGTGGTGGGTGGTTGGGGGCATCCATCCAAAATTGTATAAAGGATTCATTTGTCAACACACAAACAAATCAAGATCAATTTATATGAGAAGCAAAACTGACAGTCATTTAAATAATATTAAAAAGATTAAGATTGTTTTCAGAAAACCTTAAATTTATAAAATCCCATTTTACTCCAAAAATCTAATACATTTTAGTGTGATTTATGCTTAAAACAACAAAACAAAATGCTGGTGAGGTAAAAAAAAAAAAATGTAATAAATCAAGAAAAGTCATATTATCTTATGTAATTTCATATGGAGGACGAAACCTGCAAAAACAATAAATAAATAAATACACAAATAAATAAATAAATATGCAAATAAATAAATAAATGTCTGTATAAATACACAAATTCTTGTTTAAATACATATAGAAATAATTAAACATGTGATTAAAGTAGGCAAATAAATAAAATAATTTAGTGGACAAATGGAAAATGTTTAAGGAAATGCTAAACTCATCCTATTTATTTTCCTTTGATCACTCATTTATTTCTGAATGTAGTTCCACATTTATTTTTCCTCTGCACAGCATGCTAATGAGAGGGTGTCGACCATGGACTTGGTCGAGGTCATGTCATAGCTGGGGGCGCGGCTTTCTGACGCTGATGAGATTAACCCCTTAGGTATCGAATTTTGGTACCGAACGACGAGACGTTTTTCGATACTCGATGGAATCGAGGCAATTCGGTGGTGCCTAAAAAGTATCAAACTCGATACCCAGCCCTAGCACACACCCTATCTGTGAAGATGGCAGAACAACAGAAAGAAGAGGTCATTGAGAATGTGGTGGAGGCTGACTGAGTCCTAACGTGCGCTCATTGGCGCCCCTTCAGCTGGTGGTGCCCTAGGCGACTGCCTAGCTCGCCTATGCCTAGAAACGGCCCTGCCCTAGATCACAAACAGAGATATGAAAATGTAAAATCTGCTCTCTCTTTCGATACAATGAAAATGCATGTTGATTGTTGGTTGTTCAGAACAGCCAATCAGTGCTCTGTGCTGACCCCTGCTGCCAGATGATATGTACAAACAGCAGTGAATTTAGAAATTAAAATAGCAAATTTCTCTTTTACTAGAAGTTCCTCACAAAAAAATGACATTGTTGAGAAAAAAACCTCTAATTCATTAATATCCGTATTCAAAACACAAAGACCTATGAACGACCTAATAATGCAAGGCTGCCTAACAAGGCCCAAGGCAAAATTATAAGCCCCATAACATTCTCAGTTGTGTCCTCTCCTGACCTAATGCAATGAAAAGAATCAATTAAAAACCGTTTTGTTATATAGTATAAAACCTACAGCAAAACTCTACCCTATTTACAAAGTCTATACACATAAATCCAAAATTTGGATAAAAATGGGAAGAGCGAATGTCTAATAGAGAGAGAGGGAGAGAGAGAGACAGGCGGAGGGATGATGAGGGGAGGGAAGAGAAAGGGAGGGGGAAAGTAAAAGCTAAATGGGAAGAGCGAATGTCTAATAGAGAGAGAGGGAGAGAGAGAGACAGGCGGAGGGATGATGAGGGGAGGGAAGAGAAAGGGAGGGGAAAAGTAAAAGCTAAAGGATTCTGAAAAACACAAGGAGCCGTAGAGGATTGGAAATTTGTAAGTATTCTAAAAACGAATTCTTTTGAGAATATTACATCATTACAATCATCATATAACACATCATCTAGTCATTGCTTTTAACACTCACATAGTAAAACAGCAGAGAATGTGGGTAGTGAATATGTGGGTATCTCTTAATGAGATAAATATGTAAAAAATGGCATTCCTCTTGAAACAACATGCAGCGGTATAAGAAATACACACTTATGAAAAAGAATGCAGAATGTGAGGGTATGCTGTGTGTTGATGCATATGTGCACTATACAGTTGAGTTGTCAGGTTGAATATGTAATGGATCCCGCAGGCAAAACTAGGGAATGCATAGGGGTACATATGTGTTTATGACGAGTGATGGGAATTTATTCATCTGTGTGCATATGTAAGCATATGTGTGTGTGAGGTTGTTGAGTCCACAGAGAGGGGTGGGAATGCACATTCTTTAGTGTGAGCTCATGTCTTGGACACCGAGAAATACAGGCTTAGAGGAAAAGACTTGGGGAGAGAGAAGGAAACAGACAAAGTGGGAAGGATGGAACAGCTGTAACTCATATCTTTAATGAGCGATTGAGAACAGAGAACTCATGTTCTGTGACATCAATAAATGAGAATCTGCATGAGTCACAGGCAAATGGAAATCTAAACAGGTTTCATCCATCTGCAGTTCTGTTTTCTCATGCACTATGTGTTTTAGAATTCATTTGTTTTGTCCAAGTCTTTTGAGGATGTCTATAAATGGATAAATTTTGGAAGTGGTGACTTCCGAAGTTTTAATAGCATGGCCCGTTAAGAAGGAAATCTGCTCTGCAGGCAATCAGATACACTGTGACCGGTCTGATAACTGACAGATTTCTCAAAACAAAATTGCATTTGCAATTGGTCCGAAAGGATGAATGACTCTAGTCAGTTTCGAATAAATGCTGTTCTTTTGAATTTCTTTCCATCAAAGAATCAAAAAAAAAAAAAACAGGTTCCACAAAAATAGTAAGCAGCACAACTGTTAGCACTGATAATAATAAGAAATGTTCCTTGAGCATCAAATACTATGATGCTCAAGATCAAATACTAATAAACTCAGACAGCTCCGTCAGGCCAAAAAAGATGCTTACAGGAAGGGGACAATGTCCCCCTCTCCCCCACACCTGCACCTCAAATCAGTGAAGACGAGGTTCGCCAGGTCTTCCGGAAGCAGAAAAGGACAAAAGCACTAGGCCCAGATTGTGTTACACCAGCCTGTCTGTACGCAATGTAAATAAGAGATTAATTGTGCAGTTTAGAGAGCTTTATTGATTATAAGGAACTTTGTGAGATCGCGATTGCACATATAATTGTCAATTTATATATTGTTATTCCTTATTTACTTGTTCTATAATTTTTTTTTATTATTATTCTTTTATTATCTGTGTTTTTGTTCTGTCGCTGTCACTCTGTTGCACTGTGGAAGCTTCTGTCATGAAAACAAATTCCTCGTATGTGAAAACATACCTGGCAATAAAGCTCATTCTGATTCTGATTCTGATTCTGAAATCAGCATAGAACGATTTCTGAATGATCATGTGATACTGATAACTGGAGTAATGACTGCTGAAAATCCAGCTTTGCCATCACAATAATAAATTCAATTTTAACATATATTAATATAGAAACCAGTTATTTTAAATTGTAATAATGTTTCACAAAATTATAGTGAAAAACGTTTTCACTGAAAAATGCATTTTTTATCAAGTAAATACAGCCTTAACTGTACATAACAGAATTCATATATATATATATATATATATATCTTACTGACCACAAACTTTTGAATGGTACTCTATATCGACTTTATCTCACAATAACCTTTATTTTTTATGCTAAAGTGGAAACCAGCTTCCATTCCATCCACTGTAATTTTGAATACACTGAAAGTTATTTCAGACTTGTTATGATAAAACATACTCATAACCTTTCTTGCTCTCTCCAGGCCCTGAGCTGTGATCAGCCCGCGTGAAGACCCCAAAAGATGGGCAGCTATCCAGTTTCTGTGCTCTTATGCTGTTTTTTCTTTGGTAATTCCATCAAAACAGAAGCCAATTAATTTAATTAATATGAATGAATGATTCTTTTTGAATGCCCAGCCAACAAAACTTTTCTGATATTTTTTCTCACAGTACTTGTTACTGTCCGAGCACAACAAACTGGTAATTCACTGTTTTGTTCACTAATTCAACTGTTTTGTTAAACGATTGTGTGGATTGTGCATAAATGTTAAGTTTAAATATAACATTTTAAAGTAGAAATATTAAATGATTGCAAAAATGTCAAAAAAATGTCAATTGTCAATTTATATATTGTTATTCCTTATTTACTTGTTCTATAATTTTTTTTTATTATTATTCTTTTATTATCTGTGTTTTTGTTCTGTCGCTGTCACTCTGTTGCACTGTGGAAGCTTCTGTCATGAAAACAAATTCCTCGTATGTGAAAACATACCTGGCAATAAAGCTCATTCTGATTCTGATTCTGATTCTGAAATCAGCATAGAACGATTTCTGAATGATCATGTGATACTGATAACTGGAGTAATGACTGCTGAAAATCCAGCTTTGCCATCACAATAATAAATTCAATTTTAACATATATTAATATAGAAACCAGTTATTTTAAATTGTAATAATGTTTCACAAAATTATAGTGAAAAACGTTTTCACTGAAAAATGCATTTTTTATCAAGTAAATACAGCCTTAACTGTACATAACAGAATTCATATATATATATATATATATATATATATATATATATATATATATCTTACTGACCACAAACTTTTGAATGGTACTCTATATCGACTTTATCTCACAATAACCTTTATTTTTTATGCTAAAGTGGAAACCAGCTTCCATTCCATCCACTGTAATTTTGAATACACTGAAAGTTATTTCAGACTTGTTATGATAAAACATACTCATAACCTTTCTTGCTCTCTCCAGGCCCTGAGCTGTGATCAGCCCGCGTGAAGACCCCAAAAGATGGGCAGCTATCCAGTTTCTGTGCTCTTATGCTGTTTTTTCTTTGGTAATTCCATCAAAACAGAAGCCAATTAATTTAATTAATATGAATGAATGATTCTTTTTGAATGCCCAGCCAACAAAACTTTTCTGATATTTTTTCTCACAGTACTTGTTACTGTCCGAGCACAACAAACTGGTAATTCACTGTTTTGTTCACTAATTCAACTGTTTTGTTAAACGATTGTGTGAAAACTTGTGTTTGTATAGGGAGACCAGGCCTAGTTGTCACATGGGGAAGTTGTCACAATAATTATATCTCAGTAACCATAAAGGAGTCATATGGATATTTGAATGCCAGGGACGAGTTTTGATGTGTGTTTTATCTGTTGTCATTTTTTAAATAATATAATTTATTAATCATTTTATAATTGGGTTATAAAATAGTCTATAATACTCTGTACATACACCAGAGAATAGTGTAGAATAGTGATTCTCAATCTCAACCCAACCAGTCCTGGAAAACCTAGATATATTAGTGTGATTTCTAGACACGGAAAAATCATAGAAATGAATAAAAAATGTGGGAAAAATTTATAATGAATATAAATTTCTAGTTATGTCATAAATATTTAATTGGGTAGAAATTGCTATTTGTAAGTCTAAAATAATTTTAAAAGTCCTGTAAATTAGAAGATGAACAACTGACTAGAAAAATCATGTCAATTCATCAGTAATAAAAAGTGTAAATGAGAACATTCAGTTATTGAAAATTCTGGAATTGTGGAATTAATTTAATGTAATTATTTTATTTAATCATTCTAGTCAAATATTATTATAATAAATATAATTTATAATATTTATGATAAAAATGAAAAATGAACAGCAGAAGTATCAGAAATATCTTTGGGGGCAACAGAGTCAGAAAGGATGAGAACCGTTATAGAAAACATCTCTCGTCTATAGAAAATGTATTTCATTACTCATTTTAATTACAAATGAAGAGTTCCAATGCAAAAGCCTCTAAAAGCCATCTTGGTCAAAAATTAGATAACGATACTGAGTGAATGCTCTCCACACAGAGTAGGCTACATGTTCATCAAGTACTTTCACTTCAAATGCGCTAAATCCCAGCCTCAACCCATTCAGAAGTACCAGTACTTACATAGAAACCTATGCATAGTAGCCAGAAAAATATATAATTTTAAAGATAAACGTCAGACGTACTTAGAGGCTTTTGCATCTGAACTCTTCAAATAGTATTTCAAAAAAGGTATGCTTCTCATGTCCTTGTTGGGACAACTTTTCCACTGTACGCCCGGTAAATGAAATGGAGCTTGATTGACCGAATGGAATTCAAGTGTAGTTCAGGCAGACCACTAATCGCTATCCTATCAGCTGACACTCAGCTGATCAATACTCCACCTGCTTCAAATCAACAACCGCATTTAAGACCATTCAAACGCATGCTCTTCAGTCTGTTGCACAGACATTTGCAGCCACCTCCACCCCTTCACCTCCCAGCAACTCAAATTAACAGCCTGGATTCTGTAGAACTAATCTCGTCACTCTCTTTATTTCGTAACTTGTATTTCGGCATATGTGTGTGGCCAAGAAATATTTGGTTATTGTCAGGCTGGGGGATTAGTGCCTTAAGGATGTATCTTAAACTGTCTAGTATGGCCGTGAACCCCTTAAGCCTTAAAGTTTTCGCCAAATTCATGAACTGCCAATAAATGTATTTTCAAAAGTGGTCCTGACTGAACTGTATCTTTTTGTCATAAGGGCAAAAATGTTCAGTAGCTTTATGTAGCCAAGAGTTTAAGTTATGTGTCTCTATACAGACACTGACTTTCAAAAATAAACCCACCCTGAAAAAATATTCACTGGAGTAAAAAGCATGACAACTGGCCCCGGTCTCCTCTACATGTTTGTGGTTTGCTGTGTTTTTCTTTTTCTTGCCAGAACTACATGACACTGATGCCACTGCTTTGCCACCACCAGGTGAGTTTGTACATATGTGAGTACAGCATTTGTATTAACAGTAAGACAATATCAGTCTTGTCTCTGTCCCACAGACTGCAGAGAGGAAGCATACCCCTGCACCAGGATGTACTCTGTTCATCGACCGATGAAGAGATGCATTCATTCACTCTGTCTCTACAGGTGGCTGACACACACACACACACACACACACACACACACACATGTCTGGTCAGCTATCCTTGTAGGGACTCTCCATAGGCGTAATGGTTTTTCTACTGTACAGA